CTATTTAAAGCCAGGAAATACAGAATGTTACATTTGCACTCTGGGTTGTCTAAATTGTTTGCTGTGCTGATCAGAGCAAAATTTCCATAATTATATTTGTATATTCATAAGTGGTGCTAGAAGCAAATGAATCATCATAATCATCATATGCATATCTTGATAGCCAAAAGGAAAAGTCAATTGCGTGTCAAGCTACCAAAGGTCACTGTTTCTTCACGGCTTCTCTTTTGCCAGAGAAGCAATTCAATGCGTGTTGGTAAAAAGGAGGCCTGAGAGGTGATGAACTTGCCCAACAACTTAACACAGACCCACATGCAGAGGGAGAACTGGGGGAAGCCCGCAGGTTGAGCAGGGCAGGCAGAGCCACCATCATATTGCAGTGCTCCTCCTTGGGGAGTCTTCGAAGGCTCTGCGTCCCCAGCCAGCCAGTGCTAGCTCTGAAACATTACACCTTTCAGTCTAGGACATAGCTATAGGCCAGTCAATGTGTAATATAGACTTTGATAACTGTTACAGAGAAATAGAACCAACGCTGTTCAAAGGCAGTCATGATAGACTTTATTTAGTGTCACTGCAATGGGGAAAGAGCTACAAATACAAGTGGGGATTTGTAGCCAAGGAGCAAGGTGGGGGTGAGAAGTGGGTGGGTGGAAAATTACTACTGGACACATCAAGGGTGGGGGCCTTCTTGCTAAACCTCTTTAACAAGATGGTTGCTTAAGGCAGGCCCAGGTGAGCAGATGCAAAGGGAGGGACGACTTAGCAGGATTCTCTGCGAAGATTGGCTTAGGGGGACCAAGGCTGGAGTCGAGGACTGGGCCTAGTTGAGAATAGGGTTGGGGGAAACTGTCTAAAGTTTGGGACAGTGCCTGTGGCTCAAAAGAGTTAGGTGCTGGTCCCATATGCTGGAGGTGGTGGGTTCAAACCCAGTCCGGGCCCAAAACAGCAAAATAATAATAATAATAATAAAGTGTGGTTGAGGAAGGAGTCCTTGTCATAACTACTGTCAGACATGAGGAGGAAATGCAGAAAAGATTGCCCTTAAGATAGGGAGGGGCTGTATAACAGGGTAGAAACGACAGTAGAGCCTCTACAGTTGACTCCTCTCTACATTGACCACCTCCTTAAGTTGACCTAATTTTCATAGACTATACACGTACCACATATAAGTATGATACAGTAGGCCTAGTTCCTTATGTTGATCACCTCCATATGTTGACCAGGTTGTTACAGTCTATTGGGTGGTCAACTTACAGAGGTTCTACTGTATTTTAAGGTGGTGGCAGGAATTAGAAGAGAGGGCCACAGAGAGGGAGGCCAGGCCAGAGGGCTCCTTCACTGGGGATTCTCAGGCCAGCATCCAGAGTCGAACTTGCAGCCTAATTTCCCCGTGATTGCTCAGGCCATGTAAAGCTTCTTTCAGATCTCCATGCTTAGGTCACCTTTAGATGTCTTGGGAGGAAGTTTGGTATGAAAGTGATTTTGCATTACCTAGATAGGGTGGAGGGAACACTTAATCCAATTTCTGGGACCCCAATTGTGGGTATTGTGGGGTGTGCTCCCTTGGAGGGAAACCTGAAGGAGAACTTGGCTCCAGCAGAAGCAGAACAGACAGCAGGACTGTTCTGAATCCCACAGCACCTGCAGCCCACTCTCACCTTAAGGGGAGGTCACAGGGGTGGCTTCATACAGTAGGGAGGGCCTTGGGAAAGTCCCTTTGAAGACTTGCTGTCCCAGAAAGGTCAGCAATGACCCTTGAAAATGCCCGTTAGAAGTAAAGCTGAGGGACTCAGACTAAGCTGTCCTCTATCTCCCCTGCATGGAGTTTGAGTCTTCTTCCTTGGTTGTATACACACAGACCCTCAAAGCAGCCATCCAGGTCTAGACGTGGTGGCTCATGGGAGGCTGAGGCGGGTGATTCCTTGAGTTCAGGAGTTCAAGACCAGCCTGAGCAAGACCCCATCTCTATTAAAACTAGAAGAAAATTAGTCAAGTCATGTGGCAAGCACATGTAGTCCCAGCTACTCCGGAGGCTGAGGCCAGAGGATTGCTTGAGTCCAAGAGTTTGAGGCTGTAAGCTATGATGACACCACAGGGCACTCTAACCTGGGCAACAGAGTAAGCCTCTGTCTCAAAAAAAGAAAGAAAGAAAAAAGCAGTGGTCTAAGGACAATGCCCTGGGGAGGTTTTTTTTTGTGAGACAAAGTCTTAGTTTGGCCCCCTCAGTAGAGTGCTGTGGCCTCGTAGCTCATAGCAACCTCAGACTCCTGGCTCAAGCAATTCTCTTGCCTCAGTCTCCCAAATAGATGGGCCTACAGGCACCCACCACAATGCCCAGCTATTTTGTTTGTTTGTTTGTTTTGTTTAGCAGGCCCGGCCAGGTTCAAACTCACTAGCCCCAGTGCATGTGGCTGGCGCCCTAACCACTGAGCTAAGGGCACCCTCCCCTGGGGATGTTGAGAGGTCGACTGACCCCGTCCCGCAGAATCACACCTCTCTCCACCACCACTGTGTTTCACTGCAGTCCCTAGGTGAGTTGCTTTCACCAGGAATGGGCACCCTCTCCTCCCAGCAGCACACCTAGGGAAGGCAATTTGTATACAAAGGATTGGGAGTTTTCTCTGTGGGTGGCACTGTCAACTAGTTAGGAATGCTAGCTACTTTGGCTCTCTGTTGTGTTCAAAGATTAAAAAACCAAACAGATCAAAATATAGTCTGGATGCTATTTAGAGCTTAGCTTCATTTCATTCCTTTTATTTCTGAATTTTGACAAAAGTAGAGGCCTTCACATCCAAGATTTATGCTCCTCACATCTCTCAATTTTGTCCTCAGATTTATCTATCCATCTTCCCCAGTCTTCTAAGAGGCCAATTGAATCTTGGCTGTACAGCCTGTATCACATAACTGCATCACTCAATCCTCTGTCAGGGTTTCTAGCTTTTGTTTACACAATCAACGTCATGTTCAGCCAGTAGTGAAAGACATCGGCCTATTTGAACAGGAGAGAACCGCACTAGCAAGAGGCTCCTGAGGAAGCTCACACCTTCCCTGACTTCTCTGATCCCATAATTAAAACTGCCTGCTTCGGCTGGTGCAGTGGCTCACAGCCTGTAATCCCAGCGCTCTGGGAGGCAGGTGGATTACCTGAGCTCACAGGTTCGTTGGAGACCAGCCTGAGTAAGAGATCCTGTCTGTAAAAAAATAGCCAGGTGTTGTGATGGGTGCCTGTAGTCCCAGCTACTTGGGACGCTGAGGCAAAAGAATCGCTTAAGACCAAGTTTGAGGTTGCTGTGAGCTGTGATGGCACGACACTCTACCAAGGGCAACATACTGAGGCTCTGTCTCCAAAAAAAAAAAAAAAAAGAGTCTACTTTCCCTTGTTGATAAAACTCCCCAGAGGGAATTTACAACAATCAAATTCCTTTGGCAGGTAAAGGGAGTTTAGAGAATGCTTCTCCCAGCATCTGCTGAATTTCAAGTGCTTACTGCCTTCTGCTGAAAATAATCAGCATACCAAAGCGACAAATTTGGGGTGTATTTATGGTTTCCCTCATTTCTTTTAAGTTTTTGATATTTTGTTCATCATGGACTTCTTTACATTAATTTTGAATCTTTAAAAGATTGCATTAAAACATTACTTACCTTGGGCGGCGCCTGTGACTCAAAGGAGTAGGGTCTCCAGCCCCTTATGCTTGAGGTGGTGGGTTCAAACCCAGCCCCTGGCCAAAAACTGTAAAAAAAAAAAAAAAAAAAATTACTTACCTTGAATACTGGAGGGTTTTTTCTGGTTGCATCTCTCAACCAGCCGCACAGCTTGCCTCATCCTATCTCCTCAACCAAGACCTGTTTTGCTCAAGGCTGAATCTCTGTAGAGTTTACCGCATTATTAATACTCTTGTTCTCCAAATAAAACATTCTTTAAGAACAGCTCCGATTTCTTTCTTTCTTTTTTTTTTTTTCTGTAGAGACAGTCACTTTATCCCCCTCGGCAGAGTGCCTTGGCGTCACAGGGCTCACAGCAACCTCCAGCTCTTGGGCTTACGCGATTCTCTTGCCTCAGCCTCTGGATAGGTGGGACTACAGGTGCCCACCACAACGCCCCGCAATTTTTTTGTTGTACTTTGGCCAGGCCGAGTTTGAACCCGCTACCCTCGGTAATGGGGCTGGCGCCCTACCCAGTGAGCCACAGCCGTCGCCCAACAGCTCCGATTTCTTCCAGAACTCTAGGACTCCTCTTAACCTGGACGCAGATGTCAGGGGCAAATGCACAGAAGGAAAAGAGCCCTGGTTCACCACCACGCTGCCCAGGCCGGCTCCAAGCCCGACCACCCTTCCTCTTACTCCATTCTCCCTTCAGCGGTGCTGGGCTAGGGCAAGAGCTCTGGGGCAGGGTTCACAGGGTGGGCAGCTGCTAGGGATGTAGAGAGGGAGGACGAGAAGAGGAAGGGTGCAGGAGAGAGGGCAAGAGCAGGGCTCGCGGGAAGTTGGGCACCAAGCGTCTGGGAAGGGGGTAAGTGGGCGGGGCAGGACGGGGCTCGCAGCCAACAGGCTGGAGGTGGAGAGGGGCTCTGCTGGAGCGCGCGAAGCTGGAGGGCTCCGCGGAGGTACGGCGCTGGAGCGTGGGCGAGACCCATCCGAAGGCGGGCACTGGAGCTGGTGCGGACCCGGAGGGGTGGGGATCGAGGGCAGGGCGAGGGGACCGTGTGCGGACGGCGGGGCTCCGGGTGGCACTGCTGGTTAAGCTTCTGGAGGCGGGTGCGGCGCTGTCGTCACTGCTTCTGCACCTGGGGTCACGGTGTCTGCGAGCGTCCCCTCCCAGAGCGGACTCCCCTGCTCCAGCTCCAGGCTAGGAGGGCCGAGGTCCGGGCGGGGCCCCAAGTCCGGGAGCAGCTAGGGAATCTCTTGAGTGGCCGGGCTGCCCAGCGGTGGGGCTCACCGCCGCGTGCCTGCCGGTGATCATACAGGTGTCTTCGGACCACAGGTGGCTGTGCAGCCTCGCCATGGTGGATGTACTAGGCGGGCGGCGCCTGGTGACCCGGGAGGGCGCGGCGGTGGAGGCCGAGGCGGCGCTGCAGAACAAGGTGGTGGCGCTGTATTTCGCCGCAGGCCGGTGCGCGCCCAGTCACGACTTCACGCCGCTGCTCTGTGACTTCTACACGGCGCTGGTGGGCGAGGCGCGGCGGCCCGCTCCCTTCGAGGTGGTCTTCGTGTCGGCCGACGGCAGCGCCGAGGAGATGCAGGACTTCATGCTCGAACTGCACGGCTCCTGGCTGGCGCTGCCTTTCCACGACCCCTACCGGCAGTGAGTGAGGGCTCTGGGGGGCGGGGGCCGCCGGGCGGGTCGCCCCCGTATCCCCTCAGGCCTCCCCCTAAGCTCTCTGAACTTCCTGCAGATTCCCCCTTCCCTTTCTGGTCTTTGCTTGGGTTAATCACGCTCAGCCTCTTGTTTCAACTTCCTTTCAGGACAGGGAAGGTTCCAGACTAGGTTTGCAAAACCAGAGCATCTGCATCCCCACGGGACTTGCGGAGCACTGGCACTGACTCTACTGAGTTTCTGATTCCGCTTGTCTGGGCTCTGGAGATCTGCATTTTCGCGGAGCCCTGGGTGGTGCTGTTGCTGTGGATAGGTGGACCAGTCTCCGGGAGCCACCTGGAGCAAGGCCGCACCGCTGCATCCTCCTCCTGATTTGTGTGTGTGTGTGTGTGTGTGTGTGTGGTGGTGGTGGTGGTGGGGAGGTGGGCACCGGGATGACCACTGCCTGGGGTCTGGTAGCAGGTGGGGGTGACCCAGGAGGTCATAGCTAGTGTGACAGGCATCCGCCCCCAAGGCGGTGGAGGCTTTGCTGGAAAGGAGGGGCTTGAGGGCTCCACAGACAAAGAACCCAGGTGCTGTCCACCTTTAGGGTTTCATTCTTACTGGCAGTGATGGAGTTTCATAACCATAAGGTATAAAACTCACTATTATTAATTTCATTAATGTAAATGTAGGAAGAACTAGGAGGAGGCAGATGTCAGAGGTGACAAAAATTTCTCTGAAAGGACCTTGGACCCCTTCCCTCCTTTTGAAAAGAGGTGTCCAGGTGGGGAACCCTCAGCTCTGTATGGAAATTTTAGACTTTGTGAATGAACTAGAAGTTGAACATAGCGCTTCACTGGTTCTAGTAAGTGAGCAGATAGAGGCAGGGATTGGCAGAGAGGAAGTATGGCAGGGGACTCATTGTTCTGGGCACTGGGGTCTCCTGTGGTGTAAGCGTCCAGACTTAGTTTTAAATTACACTTCTTAAAAATATATCGTCCCCCTCAACCCCTTAAGACAGTGATTTTCAACCAGTGTGCCGTGAGAAGATCTTAGGTGTGCCACCTAAGATTTTTAAAGATTATTAACTAAATTATACCACCAAAGATTTTTAAAGATCATTAACTAAATTATTTTTGAAAGAAGTATAAAGCACATTAAGTATATTCTTTTTCTTTACTTTTTTTTTGATCAACGCATAATTTAAGTGTGCCTCGAAAGTTTAGCTATAGGTTCAAGTGTGCCATGAGATTAAAAAGGTTGAAAAACACTGCCTTTAGGTATGGATGTGTATGGCTGGGTATTACTTTACAGAGGCCGGCTTCATGTTTCTCTAGAGATTATCATTCAGTTGTACAATCCCCCCCAAATTAATTGTTATGAGATGACATTCCTTCTGGAAAATGAGAACAGGAAGCTAACTTTGGAAATATCTGTAGAAGAGTTAATTAACTGGAAGAAGTCTGATTATTTTGGCTGAGTGCCCTCAGCTCAGTGGTTAGGGTGCCAGCCACATGCTCTAGGGCTGGTAGGTTCAACCCCAGTTCAAGCCTACTAAACAAAAAAGAAAAATAGCTGGGCGTTGTGGCAGGCACTTGCAGTCCCAGCTACCAGGGAGGCTGAGGCAAAAGAATCACTTGAGCCCAAGAGTTGGAGTTTGCTGTGAGGTATGATGCCAGGATACTCTACTGTACTGAGGATGACAAAGTGAGACTGTCTTAATTAAAAAAATAAAAATAAAAACAATTTTGATTATTCTCCTTACCACATGATTTTTTTTTTTTTTTGAGACAGTGTCTTTCTTTCGTTCTTTCTCTCCCTTGTTCTTTCTTTCTTTTTTTTGGAAACAGAGTTTTACTATGTCTCCCACAATGCCCAACTATTTTTTTGTCGTAGTCGTCATTGTTATTTAGCAGGCCTTGGCCAAGTTCAAACCCACCAGCCCCGCTGCATGTGGCTGGCGCCCTAACTGAACTATGGACGCCAAGCTGAGTCTTGCTTTCTTGTACTCAGTAACGTGTGATGGTATCATAGCTCACAGCAACCTCAAACTCTTGGGTTCAAGCCATCTCCTTGCCTCAGCCTCCTGAGTAGCTGGGACTATAGGTGCCTGCCACACACCCTGCTATTTTCTTTTTACAGACGAGATCTCCCTCTTGCTCAGGCTGGTCTCAACTTCTCAAGTGATCCACCCACCTTGACCTCCCAGAGTGCTGGAATCTTACCACATGATTTTGGTGATCATGAGTGAGGCAGGTTGGAAGCCAAGCTGCTCAGCCCTCCAGATGGGTGGCCTGCTTCCTGGAGGCCTCACACCAGGACTATGAAAGTCTTATTGGTGATAAATCTAAGTGACAGGTAATTTACTTTGCAAAGGATTCACTCAGAATCACTTAAAGTGCTTAGGGGCAGAAGTTATTGGTAGCTTTTGAAAGAACACACTTAGTTTTGTAAGGGAGGCAGGTGGTGATGTTAGCAATTAGGCACAGAGCTAGGATTTACCCTCTGGGTGATGGTAGGTAAGGTATTTATTCTTGAACATAATGATACATCATCAGGGTTGATCTGACACAAAAGGAATTTATCTTCTGGTCTCTTGCCTCATCTTCCAGATGTGTTATTGAGGTGCAGAGTCCAGTGCTCCTGGTTCTGGGGGGCACCTTTTTGCCCTGACCCACTTCCTCTTTGAGGGAAAGGCCGAGGCCTCCTGGGGCACACACACTTATCTTCCCTGATGGTCTGGTCAGGGTCTGTGAGTTCTAGCTGGATCCAGAGAGCAGCTTATAGGCATGGGGTGGCCGTGGGTTCTGGGCATCTCAGCTGATTGGCCTGATCTTGGCCTAGTTTTTGTCCTCAGAGGGGATTTTCTTTTTGTGAACTTACCTATTTGTTACTACTCCTTTCCTGAGTGAACTTTGTGAACCTTTCATTGTCATGTGTAAGCTGGGTCATGGAATTTTATGAGCTACACCCTAAATTCTGCTTATCCCAGCCTGGATGTAAGAACAAAAGTAAGCATCCAAGAGGTACTTTGGGAAATTGTTAATATGTGCAGACCACAATACTTGGTGGTTGGTGTTGTGGAAAGGTGGAGCCGAGGACAGTGATGTTACTGGAGGGTCCTGGGTGGGTGAAGGATGAAGTGACCTCATGCTGCCTTCTCTCGGAGGCCTAAGGGCATCACACACCCTGCACTGAATTCTTGGTGATCCATTTGAGTCAAGGGAGGAGAAAAAAAGTAGATGCTTCCAAAGACATTACTGTGCAGCACCCTCGGGTGCCCTTGGCGCAGGTGACAGCTGCAGATACCCCCCACGGGGAGGAGGTGGCTAGACTCTCCCCTTGTCTTCAGAATTGTGCAGATCTCAGCTTTTCTGGTGTCTCCCTGCTCCCAAACACACAACACAGTGCCACCTTCAATCCCCAGAGAGGCACCTGCTTATTGATATCCCTGAAATTGGAGACAGGTGTTTGGCCAGGGCTGTCAGTTCTGTGCCCAAGTGCCTGAAGTGGGCTGAGAGGAAGGGCTGAGTCTTTCGAGCCTTAATGTGGGGACAGATGCCAGCACTCCTTGGTTGGATTTTTTCAGGATGAGGTTTCATCTTGCCCCATCCTTTTTCCCTTCGTTTCTGGGTTTCTGGGTAAAACTATCTGCCCAAGAACGAAATAACAGGTGGTGACTTTATATGATTTTAGCGTAATTGTCTCATTACAACTCTTGTCCTCACTTGGCCTCTGGAGTGTCAGGGGACCTCAAGGAGGACTGGAGGGGGTCTTCCCTTCTCCTGCTGGGTCAGACTGTGACTCCGCAGCCATGGCTGGTGTTGAAACACCTCATCTTCCAGGCAGTCAAGTTTGTATTTGATAGAAAAGAAAATTGGAGGCTGGCCATGGTGGCTCTTGCCTAGTACTCTGTGAGGCCGAGGCAGGTGGATTGCCTGAGCTCATGGGTTCAAGACCAGCCTGAGCCAGAGTGAGACCCCTGTCTCTAAAAATAGCTGGGTGCCCTGATGAGCATCTGTAATTCTAGCTACTTGGGAGGTTGAGGCAAGAGGATAGCTTGAGCCCAAGAGTTTGAGGTTGCTGTGAACCATGATGCTACAGCACTCTACCAAGGGCAACATAGTGAGACTCTGTCTCAAAAAAAAAAAAAAAAAAAGAAAGAAAAGAAAAGAAAATTAGCCAGGACTTCATTTCCTGGGTAGGGAAAGGATCAGTAGGGAAGAATCAATGTTCAAGCCAATGATTCCTGGCTCTGTCTTTCCATTCCTTGTCTTCTACCTCCTCTTGGACCCTCTGGATTCAACACATCCACTGAATCCACTGATTCTGGGCTCCCAGGTCCTTCTCTGTTCTTCTGCTCATTGCTGCTTGCTCCACTCAGGTGTTGGGCTGTTAGAATATTCCCCTAAGTCAGCAGTTCTCAACCTGTGGGTCACGACCCCTTTGGGGGTTGAACGACCCTTTCACAGGGGTCTCCTAAGACCATCCTGCATATCAGATATTTACATTATGATTCATAACAGTAGCAAAGTTATAGCTATGAAGTAGTAAAGAAAATAATTTTATGGTTGGGGGTCACAACATGAGGAGCTGTATTAAAGTGTCGCGGCATTAGGAAGGTTGAGAACCACTGCCCTAAGTGCTCTCCAGGGCCTTGGTGTCCTCATCTAATTTGCTCTCAATTCATAGACCCATCTGAGCCAGCCATGCCTTGCTCCAAGCCTGCAGGGGTTTCCTGAGTTCCCGTTGCCCACTGGACAGAGCCAGGGATAGTTCAATGCTGGAAAACAAGGAGCATGTTTGGGTGGTGGTTGGAGCAAATGAGGAAAGGACAGTGCTTTAGAGAGATTTGCTTGGCAGTAGCCTGCTGCTGGCTGAGATGGAAAGGCTGGAGTCAGAAGTTGCCATGGCAACCCAGAAGCACAGTTATGCCAGGGACAAGGATGCAGTTGGGTCAGTGAAGCCAGGGACTAACATTAATTGTTACAGTGCTTGTGAAGACA